ATTAATTTCTAACTAATAATCCTTATCGAAGATTTTTGGTGAATAGTTTGGCCATACAGATGAAATTTCTGAATTCCATGAGCTGATGGAATATGTGATTGCTAACTTGCCCTATGGAATATGTGAATATGGCTAAAGCCAAGCATAAATGGCATACCATTTAGCTGGGATCAATTTCTTGTTACATTATTATAGTAACTTTGTTTTCCATTCAACTGATAAATTATAAGTTCAATGAGTAGATTTATTCTTTGGCATTGATGTCACCAAAGAATTTTTTGGTAATGGATGGATTTTTTGCAGGAGTTATATGGAAGGGAGATAAACTAATAGATGGAGTCCCTGAAACGCTTGATATGCTTCGGTCAAAGGTTTGTAATTGGGCCTGGTCATTTACATTTAGGAATCTCCATGGATATATGCTGCAATAAACTTTGTGAAAAACAAAATGCCATCTTTTATGGTTAATAGAAAAGTTTATCCTGTTGTTCCTCAGGGAAAGAGACTGGTTTTTGTTACCAACAACTCGACCAAATCTAGGAAACAATATGGTAAAAAATTTGAGACACTTGGTCTGAATGTCAATGAGGTTTGTCCGTGATCATCACTTGTGTTTACATCTATCTGTCAATCATTAGTTCTAACTTGATTAATGTTTTCAGGAGGAAATTTTTGCATCATCATTTGCTGCTGCTGCATATTTGAAGTCCATTAATTTCCCAAAAGATAAAAAAGTAAGTTTTATTGAATTTTCTGAATTTTATGCCAAGTAAAACTGAAATTTTGCCCAATTCTATTTGTTAACTGGAAGCCAAGATCTTAGCATACCATTTGATGGATGATTTGCTATTAGCTTCTATTTCAATGTCTGTCTTCATTTGTGATACTTTCTTTTTCCTATTTGTATTGTATCATTAATAAGTACTAAATGCTGCTTCTTTTTTCCAGTCTCTTTTTACTATCCCCATTATCTTACTGGTTTCGTATATATTGAGCACTCTGTTCTCACTATTCTTGCTTTTCTAAAATTCATTTATGATCCAGCTTTCTAAAGTTTACTGTTAATTACTGATTTGGTGATTCAATATGATTGATTTTGGACTGGTAGCTCATCATTATATAGGTTTACGTCATTGGTGAGGATGGCATCTTGAAGGAGCTTGAGCTTGCTGGATTCCAATACCTTGGTGGGCCAGTATGTCTTCGTTTCAGTTTTAATATTTCACCAATTATTCTTGAAACATTGTGGAACCTGCAATATTCGCTGGTGGTATATAGATAGATGATAAATACTAAATGATAATAATAATAATAATTAGAATCCCAATAAGTGTATTGACCATCCTACCATTAATTTGCTACTCTTTGGAAATTGTTTAAGGATCAAGCTTAGATAGCATTTCACTAAATTAAATTTGAAAGACAGTGAAACAATTGGTCTGATCCCACAAAAAGGGAAACTTCTGAAGTTAATAAACACTTTCACAAATCACAATGTAATCAGGTGTTGATCCAAACTAGTTGTGGCACTTCATACTAATCTTTTTCTTCTTGTCTACCAGTATAGGACTGTGCTCTCATGGAATATTTCTTTTTAAATCTTTACTTACTGCATAATACGTCTTGATTTTTCTTCCACCTTAATCCTTTCCTCATCCCACAAGTCAGTCAAAACATGCTAATAGCTTCAGTTTAATTAATTAGATTATAATTGGGACTCCTAATCTATTCATTCCTTGACTGAATCTCTTTGCTTTATTATGCAGACTCTAGCCTCTTTGACATAATTAAAATTTATATATTTTTGGTAAAGAAACTTGGTACAAGATAATTGCTAAGAGCTTATTTATTCAATGGAAGAAGAAGAAGGATATATTAGATCCTAATATTTATGTCTTTTAGGGAATTCTTCGGTTTTCCTGTTTTCAACATCGTAGAAACATCTCTCTTTTGAAACCAGAACTAGTCAGAGCAGCATGTCATGTACTAGGCTGGCACAAAGATCCAGATAGATGATAATATACCTATTAAGTTTCACAGCAATTAATGTAAAACTTCCAAGTTTTAACATTCAACTGGAAATGATATCATTGACATGTTTGATTTTGGTTGAGGGTTTTTACTTTTTTATCTTTGCACCCACGGCTGGGTAGAAAGGTTGGGGCAGCAGTTGTGGACTAACCATACAAAGCCATAGCACCTGAGAGTTTTTGTCAAATTCATTCATTTGCATGCATTTTCATTTGAGCCGGCATTTTTTATGTGATTTCCTCTTGGAATTCTTTTTATGCTATGTATTAATTGTTTTGCAGGACGATGGCGGAAAGAAGATTGAATTAAAACCAGGGTTTCTAATGGAGCATGATAAAGATGTGAAGTCTTCTTTTCTTGTTTCCTATCTGCCAATTATTCTTGCTTTCTCTTTTGGGTTCTAACTTTATAAACCATGAAAAAAAATTATGTCAATGGTCATTGAGTTAATTTTTCGAGTCTAAACATATAGCGGGTGGCTACTCTTTTTGAAATTTCCATCATGATAATAACTTCAATTTTTGCTATCTAGGTTGGGGCTGTTGTGGTTGGATTTGATCGATACTTCAACTACTATAAAGTCCAGTAAGATCTCCACTTTCATAATTACATATCTATGCACGTGCCTGACACATCAGTTTACTTATCCAATGAGGTATCTATGAAAAGGAGCTTGGCCTAAAGATTATAAAGGGAATCAGAGGATAAGTATAACCAACAGAGATAAATAGATCAATGAACATTTTAATACACATTAATATTCAGGGGCAATACTGGTAGTGTAGATTTGGTTATGCAAGGATTGATGGTTTGGGTCGATTGATTGAATATTTTAATCAAAGTCGACTGGAATTCTGAGGACTAAATTAATGCTCTAAAAGAAGGGTTTCAGGGTGAAAATGATATACCTAGATGAAACTCTCAAGAGATGGGAAAGTGCACTACTGCATTTTATTTATAAGAATTTCAACGCTCAGGGAATTGTTTTAACAAATTTAGTACAAGCTGAATATTTATGGTTTTTGTTGATTTTATGAAGTTACTAATTTATTATTCTATTAATGGAGGTACGGAACACTTTGTATACGTGAAAATCCTGGTTGTCTTTTCATTGCTACAAATCGTGATGCTGTCACTCATCTTACAGATGCTCAGGAATGGGCTGGTTTGCTACTCTCCCTTGACTGGACTTTTGTGTTTCATAACATCATCTGCTTCTCTTATGAAGTTCCCATAGATCATTGGTTTCTTCTATTTTGATTGTAAGCTGAATTCTGGACCATAAATTATCAAAGTAGCATTTTCTAACCCAGCTCTTTGAGCAGGGGGATACATTCACTTACATTGTGCCAAATACTCGGATGTGTTTATTTTAGTTATTTAAAGAACTACATTGGGTTGACGGTGACAAATAACTTTACCTGTTTACTTGTTATCCTTACACTGAGATTATGCTATCAAATCAAGTGAGCTGTATCTTTTCTTACAACTGTATGAAATTTAAAATTGTCCAGCGCACATTGAAAAAAAATTGAATATTCAGAAATTTGATTGTTTGAACAAAGAAAAGTTGGTTAGACTGGCCTTTTTTTAGCTGATACACTAAAAAATGCTTAGAAGGTTAAGAGGAAAAGAGACGTCATTTCATGAAGCCATGTTTTGTTTTGACACTTTCCCTGGGGATAATAGTTTTTGTAACTAATGCTTTTTGATCAAACAGAATCCTCCTTGTTTAATTTTTTTTTTCTTTAGTGGACAATTATAGTTGAACTGTCAAAGACTGTTTCTTATTGTATGTTTTCATATTTCTTTCTCTTATATTCTGGTGCTTTGCTTTTCTGACTCTCAAAAGTTCTGCCTCGTTTGATATATCAATACCCTTTTTTTGGGGCATGAGTTATCAATATCCTGTCTCAAAACAGCAAAACAGCGTTTTCAATTGACATTCTAGGAAAATATGTATCCTGAAAACTTTTCATCCTATTTCTTGATTATGAACTTAGTCTCATGATACAATCATTTTTCTTAATTCTGCAAGTTACGTATCATATGCTTGATTTCAGGTGGTGGTTCTATGGTTGGTGCCATTTGTGGGTCTACTCAACGTGAGCCACTTATTGTGGGAAAGCCCTCAACTTTTATGATGGACTACCTAGCAAACAAGTATGGATTCAAAGTTTTATTTTTTGTTCTGTTTCTTCTGTTTGTCTTTGGCAAGCAATAACATGAGTGATTTTGGCTTGAGGGAATTAGTGTGTAAATTATTCATAATTTGCTACAACGGTTATTAAGTGCCTGGAGAGGCAGTCTACTGGTATACTTATCATTCATAAAATTCGATATATTTGTGTGCTGTACTAGAAGTTCTCATTTGTGATTAATCTAACTGTATTTCAAAAAGATTGTAAAAGTTTTGACTAGGAAAATCAGGTTTTCCTTTACTAGATCAGTAGGGGAAAGAGCATGAATTTGAATCAAGTATGTTGTTGTTAAAACCCAGTAGAAATGCCCTTTGTAATTGACATGCAAAGAATGGAATTAACTAAATTTTATTAGCATTGTTTTATTTATGTTTATAAATAGGGTACAGCTAAGACATGCTCCTGTCTTCTTTTCCTTTATGGAGCTTTTCCTGATTAAGATTTAGATCATGTTTCTCATTTTCCAATTTTTGGTGTTTTTCATGCTTCGCCTCCTCAAATGGTAGATCCATTCATACCAGATTGAACCATTGGCAGTCTGTTTAATTTACACGATCTTTGATAATAATAGGCAAATGGACACTAGTGATTGCTTTGTTGCATTAAAAAATTTCTCTCTCTAATACTGTTTCCATGTTATACAACAGATTCGGCATCCTCAAGTCTCAGATATGCATGGTTGGGGACAGATTAGATACTGACATTCTGTTCGGACAAAATGGTGGCTGCAAAACTCTTCTTGTTCTCTCAGGTAACTAATTACTGCATGGTCGTTCTTCCAACCACAGGTTGTTTGTATCTTAAAAAAAAATCACCACATAAACACACACCTTGCGCAATAGATATATAATAATTTTTTTTTTCTTTTAATAGGCGTGACTACTTTGTCTATGCTTCAAAGCCCCAGCAATTCCATACAACCTGATTTCTACTCCAATAAGATCTCAGATTTTCTTTCTCTCAAAGCTGCAACAGTATGATCATGCAAGGACTTGGTGGTGTTGTGTTTTTAGTCTTCTCTCACATTACTAATTTACCATCAGATATAGAAGCCCTCAGCAGTTGAAGGGCAATGGTTCACAACAGTTTTAAATTGTAAAAGTTGTTCATCAATGAATGATGCAATGTAGATTATTGTTTTACTATTTGACAACTATAATTGCAAACTGTGACGCACTCTTCCTCGAATAAATGATGCAGATATGGCTGCTGCTGTCTGCATGATGACAGAAACTGTTTTTACATTTGTTTTGCATTATTAAAATGGCATGTTTAATTATCTCATTGTAGCTGCAGAACTAGTTTTATGGTGGAAGCCACGGTCAGCAAGGAACGAATTTCACTCAATTAGTCAACTGTCACTATAATTAGTAAATACTCGAATATCACCCTTTCACTTATCAAATTCCAAGAATTTAACCCACCTCTAATAGTTAACTAAAATTAGTTCCCACTTCGTTCGGGTGGATTACCTTTTTGTCGAATTTTTTTTTAAATATATTTACAGTTATTTTAATAAAAAATAAAACAAAGAAAATATTATAAAAATATTAAAATATATATATATATATATATATATATATATAGACAGGATTTCATATATTACAATTTCATTTTTTTGGTTATTTTTTCAAGTTATCTTATGAACGTTATATTTTTTTATTAATCATTTAATCAAATATATGAATTTTTAATTTATTATAAATTATAAATTTTTTTAAAAACAATTTGAAACAAAAGAAAAAAAATATGAAAAGTAAATTTTGTTTTTTGTTTTTATATCTTTTTATATTTATATTTATCATTATTATTATATTTTTTAAGATTTTAATTTTTTATTTTAATACAAATAATATATGATAAAAATAAAACACCAAAAAAAAAAAACCCACCCAATTATGAACCCATATCATATAAAATAATAAAAACTTAAAACCCATAAAAAGTATACTCAATTACAAACCCACGTCAAACAAGCATCCACATTCTTTTTCATAAATGTAATTAAAGTTCAACTCGCCGTATCATAATCCAATTAAAGCCCACCACACCATGACCTGTCAAATGTAATAACTTATTTATCTTTTATCAACCAATAGTTATTTAACAAATGGAAGGCAATTGGAAAGTTTGATTGTGAGTTGTCATTCAATTAAGAGTTATCCGTACTTAAAAATAATTTTATTGTAAATTAAACGTGTGAAGATAGTATTAGTATTCTATTTAAAAATGATATCAATTAATTTTATATAATTTTAAAAGGTCTTAATTAATTGATTTTTTATTTTTAATTAAATTTCATCATTTAAAAGTGATAATATTAATTTATATTAATGTAAAACTTTAAAGTTTTATATATTTTTTAAAATATTGATTTTAATAGATTAATGGATGAGAAAGATAAGTAAAAAAAATAGTTTAATTAGGATTGTTGCTTAGATTATTTTGTTGGATGTAATTGATAGATTCTACCCTATATTGGCATCCTTTTGAGAAATAGAGTCCTTTAAATTTATCACAAGATAAAAAAGAGATTTTGTATGGCATTAATAAGGTTGGTTTGTGATTGGTTTCTTAGGATTTTAATCTTTTTTGTAAGGGTAGCCAATTAAGAGTTAATAGAAGTAATAGCATCAATCTTAAATAAATCAGTAGATTTTTTATTGACTTTTCTTTCCATTCCCCAATGGTAATTATTGGCAGTCATCTCTTTTATTAACTTATTAGCCTCCTCAGGAATCTTGCTTATTATGGCCCTTCCAGCAACTAAATCTAGAATGGTCCTTATGGGTGGGGTGAAACCATTGTAAAAGATCTGAATATGGAGCCACTAGAGTAAACCATGATGTGGGAATTTTCTGAACAATTCTTTAAATCTTTCACATCCATCATACAAAGTTTCATCATTAGCCTGTCAAAAATTGGTGACCTCTTTCCTTAGTCTTGCAATCTTTGTTGGTGGAAAAAATTTTGCCAAGAATTTTTTAACTAAATCACCCCATGTTGTAATTGAGTTTGATGGTAAAAAAAATAGCCTACTTTTTGCTTTATCCCTGAAAGCAAAAAGAAATAATCTTAGTCTAATAGTCTCATCAGAAACACCATTATAACAAAAATATTACAAAGTTAAAGAAAATTAGAAAGATATAGATTTGGATCATCACTTTGTAGTCCTCTAAACTGCACAAAAGTTTAGACCATTTGTATAATCGAAAGCTTTATCTTGAAGATATTGGCATGAATAGCTAGCTTTCAGATGGATGGCTAAAAACCATTTGCATTAAGAACTACATAGTCCTTCAAAGTTCTTTGCCATTCATTATTTGCATTCGCATAGGAGTAAGTGCTTATAATGTTGATTGCTCTTTTTTTCTTCTTCTAAAGGTTCTCTTTATCTCTTGATTAGCTAAAGTTATGTCAACACTTTTAGATCTACACATACAAGCAAGAAAAGATCAAAAAAGAAAAAAAAAGAAAAGGAAAACTAAGTAGAAAAAAAAAGTTTTAGATTTTAGGAGCTTAGAAATTCTTTATTGATATTGCACACACCGCTATAATTCCCAACAATGGTGCCAAAAACTTGATTGTTGCTTTTTGTATAAAGCTTGCAAGTGCATAGATCAAGTAATAAAGTGGAGTACTCCAAGTATCATCTCCTCTGAGATTATAGAATATAATATTAGGTAGTTCACAAGTATCAAATGTGTATCTAAATAGATGAACACTTAGGGTTTTAAGGTTACATGGTTTAAGTAGACACAGATTAAGTAAAGATTAAAGGTGATATATGATAGGGTTCTAAACTTCAGTAACTGTCACTTAAGAAGCAAAGATTAATGCCAACAACTAATCCTAAAGCTAGAATTGAAAGATTGCAAGTAAAAGAATTAAAAGGTTGAAAACAAGAAACCCTTAAAAATGCCAAATTTATATGAAGTAAATGAAGATTGCATAAAAAAAAGTAAAGAACAAGAGAGTTGAATGTAGTTGAATCTTCAAAAAAAAAATAAAAGAACTTGGATCAATTTTGGAAATAGATTGTTTGTGCCAAAATTAAAAAAAAAAAAAACAAGAAATAAGATTTTTTAAATAAGAAAACAAGAGATCTTTGAATGAAATACCTTTTAATTGAAAAATATTTAAACAAAAACTTAGTGATTGGCTAATTTGTCACCTAAGCCAATACCTTAACTAAAAGAAATAAAGAACTAAAGAAACTTAGAAACTAAACAAAAAAAGAGTAGTGAGGAGAGGGATGGTGAAATAAGTGAATGGCTTTACCTATTTATATGCATAGGTTTGCCCAAAGGGGATAGACCACACAAGTGTTTAATTTTAATTCAAATACAATTGGATGGGCTTTATCTTGGTCATTTAAGCTTCATGGCTAAATGAGACTCTTCATATTTGAGTGTTCTTGGCCAAATGGATTCTTGGTAGATCAATATTGACCTTTGCTTTCATTTTTATCAAATCTTGCATAATCTCTTTTGTTGGATTCAGCTAACGTTTAGAGTCTCAAGAGTAATTGGATTTTTATCCAGTTTTTGAATTTTGAATGGATAAAAACCTATTACAAGTGAATTTCTTCAAGGCTAAGCAACAACCTTCATGGTAAGTTTCAAACTCCTCTTAGCCAAATGTTATAAAGCTTGTAGAGTTCTTGTGCAATGCGTTCCTTTCATAACTAAGCAAAGAAAGCATGATTATCTTAAAATTTCATCTTGGCCAAATGGATTGGGATTCAATTAGGCTTGTGCATGCTTAAATATGGATCAATGTGGGTGGCATGGACCTTGTATAGTTGGGTTGAATGTGAATTTTGCATAATTATATACATAGCTTGCAAGAAAATGAGTCTCGAGCTTGAAAAACCTAAAGCCATGAAAATAGCATGAAAAGCATTAAAAATCATCCAAAAATTTTAAATTTTAGCATCATTTTGATATGTAAAATGTCTATATATTTTGGTGCTATCACCTATACAGTCTAGTTTGAATTTGATATCTAACCTCATTTGCTCATCAAAACTTATGAAATCCTCTTTGATCAAACTTTGAACCTTGTTCTTGAAAGCAAGAAAACTTTCTATGGAATGACCCCTATTTTTTTTTTAATACTCATATGTAGCATTGGCATCATACCATTTAGTATAATGAGGTTTTAATGATTCCATATGAACAATTGATACCAAATGACTCTTAATGAGTTTTAAGAGTAATTCAGCATAAGACACGAGAATTGGGTCAATATGACTTCTTTCTCATTGGACTCATACCTTCTCGAAACCGTTTGTTTGGTTATGAGGCCTTAAGGCTAGTTTAGTGGTGGGTGGAGTAATTGAGGTTTGGAACATGGGATGAAAAGTTAATGTTGGTATTGGTTGATGGGATATGGTATTTAGGACACTTGGTTGGATAAAGGATAATAAGCGAATCAGTCAGGTATGATTAGTGTTGGATAAAAAGTCTATATGATAGACTCTTAAAGGTTACTGCCTAGGTCTTTGATTCTTCCTTTTTGGTGGCTAAGGTTTCCTTAGCTCTTGAGATTTCTTGCCATTTTTAATTGCATTTTCAATCAATTCTCCTGATACAACTATATCAGCAAAATTCTTTGGGGCATTACCAACCAATTTATCATAGTAAAGGGCCTTCGAGTGCTCACAAAAAGTGATGTAATTTCTTTCTCTATCAGTGATGATTGGACCTAAGCTGCCATATCTTTCCATCGGTGAGCATTCTCCTTGAAGGTTTTGGTCCCCTTTTATCTATGTTTTGCAAAGATAACTTATCTGGCATCGTATCTTTAACATATTTGTATTGTGCTATGAAGGGCCTAGCCAAATTTTTATGTGAGTGAATTTTATTTCGGTCTAGCTAGACATACCATCTTGCTACGAACCCAATGAGACTATCTTGGAAGCAATAGATTAACAACTTATCATTATGAATATGGCTTGTCATCTTCCAATAGTACATTGTAATGTGTGCCAATGGACTTTTTGTTTCATTGTATTTCTTAAAGTTTGGAACAATGAACTTTGATGGACTTACTAGATCAGGCACTAACTCAATTCACTTGCATCAACACTCCCATATATATCATGGCCTTTAATTATCTTCAGTCTATCTTTTAACAAGTC